CACAGATGAAGAAACCCAAGGGTGCAAAAGTCAAACCTCTTGTCCAAGGCCGTGGAGCTGGACACCGGCCTGAGTTCTGTTTGGCTTCTGCACCGCGCCTACCTCTCCTCCTTTGGTTGATGGTGCAATCATTGGCTTCCTGACATCAGCAGGCAAACTCCCTTCCATAGACAAGGTACTCAAATAATGAATGCTGGCATTACTTAGAGACCTTGGTTGGACAGAATATAGCAAAGTGCTCATGGCTGAGGAACGAGTCTCTGCTCCAGTCCGGGGAGGCAGATACCCAAAAAGCAAATCAAACACACTGCCATTGAGTCCATTCTGGAGCCGACCCACAGCGCCCCTACAGGACAGGGAAGAACTTCCCCTGTGGCTTTCTGAGACTGTAACTCTTTACAGGAGCAGAAAGCCTCCTGTCTCCCAAGAGGTAGCTGATGGGCTCAAACTGTTGACGTTATGGTTGGCAGGCCAATGCGTAACCCACGATGCCACTAGGGCTCCTTAGGGAGACCTCTAGGTAGTAACAGAGAGCAAGCACCCCGAATGACTCCTGATTGCTGCTAGCATGCTCTTGGCAAAGAACCACCCTCCCGGGCTCTCCACACCTTGTCCTGCTCAGATGCCGAAGCACAGGAGGGGCCCTTTAACAACACAGCTCTGAGTTCCAACTGTGCAGGCTCCCTGGGGGCTGTCACCTTACCCACCCAGGGGGGAGATACGCCTTTCAGGGCACCCTTAGATGGGACACTCATGACTGTGTTGAGAAACAATTGGCATTTGCAGCCTGAAAATACTTGGCTTTGGCACTGGTCCCTGCACACTGCTGCACACTCATAACTAAGCAGCAGCACAGGCCTGGCCGATGGGTAACATAAAACCTGGCGAACAAATATTAGTAGGCACAAGGACCAGCTGTCTGGAGGCGCTGATTAATCCCCGGCAGAAACTTCGACATGCAGCATGCTTGCCATCTGCAGAGCACACCAGCAGACACACACCAGATCCTTGCTGCCTGGGGGAGAGGCCTGGGCCGTGCGGAATTTTATCAACAGCTGGGTTGCCTCAGAGCCTGCAGACCCGGGGCAAGCCTTTCTCCTCACACATGTACCCGAGAAGGTGGCCCTTGGAAATAATTTCATGCACTGCCCTTCCCCGGCTCCGTGGTTTCTTAGCAATGTTTTCATCGTGGCCAGTCTAAACGAGGTTTCAAGAAGTTCGTGAAAAGATTCCATTTTCCACGAACTTTTGGAGTCCAGGTGCATAGTAAATGCTTGCAGGTTCAACATTAATTTTTACATTAATTACTTTCACTGGGTGCAATCACCACCATGCGCTCGCTGCTTCCAGAATTTTCTGTCTCAAAGGACCAGAAGTTGATTGTTCCCCGAGCTATGAGTCCCTCCCTCACGCCCTCCCTCCTGTCCCAGGTGACAACTCACAAACTTTGGTTTCCATGCATTTGCCTGTTTTAGGTATTTTATGTAAGTAGGATGACATAATATTAGCCTTGCTGCACTTTACTCCGGGCCCTGGTGGCATAATGGTTAAAAATTGGGCTGCGATCCTCAAAGTTGGCCGTCTGAAACCGACATCTGCTCCTTGGGAGAGAGGAGAGGCTTTCGACTCCCGGAAACAGCTATTACGGTATCTCAGAAATCCACCAAGGCAATTCTACCCTGTGATCTGGCATTGACTCGATGGATTTTTTTTTAAAGTACCTTATTCCATTCAGCCGAATGTTTTCAAGGTTCATCCACGCTGGAGGACTTCACATCTCTTGATGACTGGCTCATAGTCCAGTCTTAGTTTGAGCCATCTCTCGTTTACCATTCATCTGCTGATGGCCCCTGGGCTGCTCCCTGCTCTGGGCTACTGTGGGTGGTGCTGCAACAGCCCTTAGTGCACAGCTATCTGTTTGTACACACCGACAAGTGGAACCACTCAATCACAGCAAACTCAAGTTTGCATTTTCGAGGCACCTCCAAAGTGTTCCCAGCAGTAGCCATGCCACTTTACAACCACAGCAAGGGATGGGAGTTCCTGTTTCTTCACACCCTTGCCAACACGTCTTTTAAAACAATTTTTTAAAATCATAGCTCATCTTAGAGGGTGTGAAGTGTGTCTCACAGTGGCATTTTCTTGCTCTTTCAATCACTGTTGCACCTGGGCCAGCCACACCTGGAGTCAAACCCTGGCCCTGCCATTTCCTAGCGATGTGACTTTGGGTAAACCACTTAACCGGTCTAAGTCTCTTTTATGCTTCGCTACCCGTTGCCTCACACTGACGCTTGCAGCTGACACCTGGAAGGCATTCTAGAAATGCCCCTGGCTTCCCTTTCCCTCGGCTGCAGGGTGATGTGTCCCCAACTCTCCTTTGAAGTCACAGGGCCCAGTGTCCGCCCCGCAAGTCCATTTTCCATTTCCTTCTCATCTTCTTCCAGTGTTTGGTATAGACTTGAAGATGTTTGGAAAAGGGAAGAAGGGGGTATGGTGGATCTTTCAAAAGGGCAAGGCATAGCAGGGCCCTCTATTTGGAAACTAAGCACAGGCATCAGGGTATGAAGAGCACAGGCGGGTTCTGGAAGGGGTTCAGGCACTGTCTCTGAAAGCCAAGTAGGGGTAGATGTGGGGATGGGGACCGAGACCATCAGCGCATTCCACGGGGAAGAAGACTGGCCTCCCTTGCTCGGGGAGCTGCAGGATGACAGGAAGGGAGACCCGTGAGGGGCTCTGCACACATCTTTTCCTGGGAACCACGCACCCAGGGCCACAGCGTGAGGTGCTTCATTTCAACGGAAATCCACGAGCCAAAGACCCACCTGGTCAGTAGTACCTCTGCCCTTTGGCTCCTGGCTCTGTTACCTTCTCCCCTCACAAGGGTTCAGGAGCGTTAACCACAAACTCTACAGTCAGAAATTCCAGGACAAGCAGCAAATCCTGAAGTGCTCCTTGGGAGAGGGATCGACTCACACACAGAAGAGCAGCCACAGGACCAGGAAGAGCAACTCCATTCTGGGCCTTTCCTTAAGCAGGCATTCCCAGGTCACCATCTTCCCCACTCTCACGCTGGGTTGGAGGGGCGGGGAGCTGGCAGGAGCACCTCAGGGGGAGTGAGGCCTTAGGGCCAGGTCTCAGACCCAGGCCCACTTTAGAACCTCTCAGCTCATCCTGCCTCTAAAGCACATCCTTATTTCTTTTTGGACTGCTAGTGCCAATCAAAGCTGCTTGTGTGCCTTTGATTGGAGATAAGGCCATCTGGGCCCACACTGTGTGTGTGTGTGTGTGTGTGTGTGTGTGTGTGCTGGACTGTGCAGGCACGCTTGCTGTGGGGGCAGTTGGCTCTAGGACAAGAGCTGCCACGTGCTGGAAAAATCCAAATAGCTGAGCTGTCTGACTGACATGTAACTGGGCACGTGGGCAGTGTCTGTCCCAGCCAAGGTCTCAGATGCCCATTTGTTACTTATCACTTGATTGCTGAGAACGTTTCCATGTTCAGAGTCAAATAGAAGGAGGGAGTGCTGGCAGGAAAGAGACAGAAAGAGAGAGCGAGACAGAGAGAGCGAGCATCCCCGAAGTGAAATTCAATAGAAAACATTGCCCTTAATACAGTCCAGCCACTGTTCAATCTTACTAGGAGTAAGAATAAGTTTGGGTTAAAAACAACAGTGACAGTTAACCCTGGGCCCCAGGTACAGCATTACGTTCCACGTAGGAGCCGACAAGTAGATGCAAATTACATAACTGATTCCACAACATCCATCACGTGGTGGCTACTGTGCGACTATCAAGGCAGACAGGAATAGGCCCCTATGTGGCTATCAAGGCAGAAGGGGAACACCCGGGGGGATGCCCTCCTTTGTACCTCGGGGGGATGCCCTCCTTTGTACCTCGTGCTCTAACAGCATCTGAGAATCTGCCCCACTGGACTGGCAGCTGGTTCTGGATCTAGTTCACTCAAGGCGAATTTCTACAACACTGTTGTTGGGAGTGAGGCAGAGGGAGATGACTAGGGGAGGGGATCTCTCCCATTGGCTGGCTGGGTACTACTCCGCTATCATCCCTCAGAGGTCCTCCCTCCTCCTTTCTTCTCCTGGCCTGCGCCCAGGGCACCCCATCTGTGCCGAGGGCTTTCCAGGCTGGCCCTTCAGCACATTTCCAGGGCTGCCTGCTGAGGTGTCCCTGGCTGGGTTCGCACTGCCAACCTCTGGGTAAGTCCCCGAGTGTTGAACTCTCTGTGCCATCCAGGAACTCCTCCGAGAGACTGCATTAGGGTCTCCTCTGACACGGGATGTCTGCTGGATTTGGCAGATCGCTGACGGCAGAAAAGTGACCTCTCTTCCCGGCCAAAGGGGGTGTTCTCCATGGCTGCCCACTGCTCCCTCACCCTCCAGGCCTCAGTCCCATCTCCGTTGCGGTGACTGGCTCTGTGACGCTCCGCCAGGCCCCGCTGCTTTTCCACACCCTTGTAAATGGCCCACCATCAGTGACTACCATGGGGGTATGCCTTCTGTTTTTCTCTGGGACTCGGGATGATGGAGTGATGAGCTCTAACCTGGCTGGTCCTTTGCCCTCCCACAGCCCTTTCTCCAAAGACCAGGATGCAGTTAAAAACAAAACAAATTCACTGCCATCAGGTTAATGCTAACTCACAGCAACCTTATAAGACAGGGTAGAACTGCTCCTGTGTGTTTCTGAGACTGTAACTCTGTAGGGGAGTAGAAAGCCCTGTCCTTCCTCCCTCCCCCGGAGCGGTTGGTGGTTTCGAACTGCTGACCTTGCAGTTAGCAGCCCAAAGCACAGCCATGAAGCCACCAGGGCGGTAAAAGTCAGGAGGTCCCAGTGGACACTCACTCACGGACACATCACATTTCCTCTATCCTTTGAACTCACTACAGCCTCCCACCTGCCGTGTGGTCCTGCCAGCCTGATCAAGGGGAAGAGGCCCAGCTGGGCGATGCCACTCAAAGGCGGCAGGGAGCACGAGGAGGGAGGAGGGGTCATGCAGTGGGGATCCTTTTCCAGGGCAGGATGGGGAACCATCCTGTTAAGCAGTGCCCACCTTGTCTTGCTGTGTACTCATTGTCTTCGATCAATCGGGCCAACCCAAAGTCAGCGATCTTGCAGATTAGCCCATTCCCGACGAGGATGTTCGCCGATCGGAGGTCTCTATGGATATAATTCATGCGCTCGATGTACGCCATTCCTGCAGCAACCTGTGGAAACCGAGGGCATGGCGTGTGAGTCCTGACTCACTACCCTGGCGCCCATCCATGCGAAGGCGTAAGCACAGCTGCCGCGGCGCCTACCTGTGCTGCCATGTCCACCAGATTCGGCAATTTCAGGGCTCTTCCTTCTCCATCTTTTAAGAAATCGAGTAAACTTCCTGTGAACAAAACAGAACTCTTTTAATTTGCTTTGGGAGGTGGAAATACTCCCAGCAGAGAGCCCTATGTAGTTTTTGTACAAGTGATAGCGTAGTTGAATAATGCCATCGGTGGTGGCCGGGAGGGGGAAGACTTATGCAAAACACCATGATCGAGAACAGTCTATGCACTAAAGGGCAACAGTTTTATCTTTGAAAAATAAGGAATGCTGACTCTATCCCTAAGGAGTTCAACAAACATTCGCTGAAACCTGAACAACAAAACCACTGCCACCCAGTCAACCCTAACTTACAGAGACCTTACAGGACAGGCAAAAACGCAACCCAACCCCAACCAACCCGAAAACCCTCACAGGAGTAGAAAGCCTTATCTTTCTCCCACAGAGTGGCCGGTGGTTTCGAACTGCTGATCCGTGGGCTGCTAGTAGCCCATCTCGTTACCCACTGTGCCACCATCATTCATATCCTGGAGGATGACAGCACTTCAGGTCATTTGGGAATTTGCTCACACAATGGAGCGACGAGGGAGCCATTCCCCTAGGGTGGCTCCTGGAGCAGCAGGCACAGCAACACCAGGGAACGTGTCGACTAGCAGATTCTCGGGCCCCAAGCCAGACCTGCTGAAACGCTGGGGCCCTGGCCGGAAGTCTGCTGTCTTAAAGACCCTTTGGGGTGAATCTGATACACCCAATTGGAGAGCCATTGGCCTAACTTATTTAGAGATTTTGAACCAAGAAAGGAGCACCTGAGGACAGCGTGGGCCAGGTAGCTCCCCCAGCCAGCCAAGCCTTCAGCAAGACACCTGAACTGTGAGGGCCGGACGAGACACAGCCCTGGGAGGCACAGGGCTAGCACCAGGGCTGGAGGTTCAGGCAGGCCATCTGCTGATTCGGCCCCCTCGCCCCAATGCTTTAAGCATGAAGTTATTTACAAAATAACCCTGGTTACAAAGGGCAAACACTGTGCCAGGAAAAAATTCCAAGTATACTTTAAAAGAAAGAACGCGGAGAAGAAAGAGGGCAGTAGTGTCCTCTGATGTGCAATGCATTGCCTTTTACGGCTGTTGGTTTCTTGTTTGGCTCATCTATTTTTCCAAAACAAAGTGATCGTTGGCCTTATCCCTGGCAATATTGCTTTCATTAGAGAGAATGAGGGAGGGGAAGAAGGGGATGGGGATAAAACGTGTCTTTAACAAAATTTCATTTCTCCTCCGCTGTTTAGGAAGCGAGCTGGAAAAACAAAACAAAACAAAACAAAACACTAAGATGCTAGAATCTGAACTCATCCAGGTAGCCCTGGTGGCACAGTGGTTCCGGGTCGGGCTGTTCACTATGAGTTCAGCAGTCGGAATGCACCAGCTGCTCCACACGCAAAAGATGGAACCCCATCTCCTCTGGGAAAGATTTAGTCTCGGAAGCCCTCGGGGCAGTGCAGCCCTGTGCTCTGGGGTCCCTAGCAGTCAGATTTGACTTGATGGCAATGTTTTTTTTGTTGTTTTAAACAGCCAGAGATTAGTGCCTGTTAACCGTTCATCTGTGCAAAAGGGAAGTTTAACATAAACCACTGCATTAAAAACAGTGATCTACAGAGTCCTCTGCCCAAACCCCTGTATTAACTCTTTCACGGCCCAATTAGTCTCTGCCTTGAACTTTTTGCTGATCTCAGTGTTTGTTTTCAGGGAAGGGAGGCAGGCTGCCATGAAAGGGGACCTCTTTCCCCCCAGTCACGTGGATTTTCATAGAGCTGGGTAGGGCTCACATGTCCCAGGTGGACTCTGGTGGGCTGAGGTCCGTGTCTTCAGATTCACAGGGAACCTGAGAGACTGCAAATGTTAGTGGGACATACACGTCCCACAGGTCTCAAAACGTTAAAACGAAGGGCTTAGTGATGGGGCGGCACTTGAATTCCTGACATGAGCAGCATGCGGAAGGTAAATACTGCAAGGGTTTACAGAGAAACACAAGGTCTGCTTCTAAAATATTTTCCTTTGTGAGCACAGGATGGGCGCTTCCTGGTGGGATTGCTGGATTCAGGCAGAGACAGGAGAAGTGCTAGCAGGCATCTCTGGTTCCCGCCCTGGGCCCTCCTGGGTTACTGGGGAGGCGGCTGAGGCAGGGCCTGACCTTTATTCATGTACTCGGTGACGATGTAGATGGGCTCCTCCGATACCACCGCGTAGAGCTGGACCAGCTTGTCGTGTTTCAACTTCTTCATGATCTGCGCCTCCTCCAGGAAGGACTCAGGGGACATGGTGCCCGGCTTCAGAGTCTTTATGGCTACTTTCGTGTTTCCGTTCCAGGTACCTACAGAACCCCCAGGGCAGTCAGTCAGTCCTCTTTTGAAGGTGGAACAGTTATTTCAACCAATAGCCAGTGGCCTCAAGTTAAACTTAAAGTTTGAAAAACAAAAACAAAGAAAACTTACCCCACCCCCGCAAAAAAAACCCCCAAAAAACAGGTCAACTGTAAGGACCCTGTCAAGTATTTTCAAAGAAAAAACATCGTCTCACTGAAGGCCAGTCCATAGTTCTTTAATTAAAACAATTTTTTTGGATTACACCACACTCCCTTTTTCTGGCTCAGCCACATGAGTACAAGCTTAACTCAAAGGCTCTAGTCTCACCTTGACCGTCGTCACATGTGTCGGGCCAGGGAGGAGTGTGAGCACAGAGGGAACTAGTCCACTCAAGAGTTCCCTTTCACGGAGCTCGCCATTAGAAAAGTGCACATGCCTCTGCACAGAGGTGAGAACACACTTGAGGATGTTGGAAATGACCACTGGCCTTTCAATTGTCTCCAGTGAGTGGGTTACTTGACTGAGTCCTGGACGGTTGAGCTCGGCATGCCGATAAGCACTGGCAAGGAGTGCTCAGTCTACCTGCCAGCACTTCAACCAGGGAAGGAGCATCCTTCAGGTTTGCTGATGGTCAGTTACCGTGAGAACAAGAGCTTTTTTATCAGTTAGACTGGAAAAATTAAAGGACAGCGAAGAGGGAGCAGAAATACTTAAAACTTAAAATGTTAAAATCAGGCAAGGTCTGGCTTAAACTATTCATCAGTTATCTCATCTGTAAACCACGGGGTGGGGTTGGGGGGGCGGCTCCAAGAGGGTCATGAAAAAATTCTCTTGTTTTTCAATTCCACTTTTCCAGGAACTTTTTGAAGACCCCTCATGTAGGAATGGAACCAGATTACCTGTGGAGTCCTAGCCCTTGTTTTATGTGTATTCCATTCCTTGTCCCATGACTTTGATTTACAACTACTTTATAAGGGGAAAAAAAAAATCTGCTGAATTGAATTACAGTCTTTTCTATTTGAAAAAGAAGGCTGGTTTAAATTAAGATTAATTTGTATATGCAATATAACTGACTTTAGAATTAAAAAAAAGTTTGAGTTGGAGCATCTGTTGCTACCCTGTTAAATACATAATTCATATAATTACAAAATGTGACCTACAAAAATATAAAGTATGAAAAAACAGGGGCTTAAAAAAGAGTGTACTGAAATCTCATGACGTGTCTGGCGACTAAAAGGAAACGTTTGCTGAGTGCTAGCACCCCCAGATTCCAGAGAGAGTGGTCTGTTCCTCTCCAATAAGAACCCTGTTAATTAGACAGCCATTCCATCACCATTCTGCAGTATCAAAAAATCATGCTGTGCGTTTAAGGGAAAAAAATCTTAATGGTCTATGTAAAGATTTAAAGGTAGTAATTCATAGAGTTTGAAAATAAATTTCCTCACGGGGTTCAAATCTTTCTGAGCGTGTGAGGAACTTGATTACAAGATTCAGGGCTCAGAACTCCAACCACAAACTGGCCACGGTGAGGTATTTTACACTACTTGAATTCAAGTTCAGAGAGGAGGACACTACAATGTGAGCTCTGAAATACAGTGATGATAAAACAATTATACTGGTTAATACATATGTGGGTCAAAAGGTATTGCTATGAAATCCCTGACTTTAATGAAACAAAAACATAAACATGTGGAGTGACTGTTTCTAAACATGTCCCCCCTCTAGGTGTATATAGGGCTAGAGGAGTTGTAGCCACCCCTCTTGCTTCCACACGGAACCCTGCATTCCGATTTAGACCACGGCAGACGGACTGCGTCAGTGCTGGCATCCTCGAGGGACTCACATGGTGTTCTTTTGAAATGTTCTTTGAGTTTGGGGATCAAAAAGAAGTCTGAGGGTTAAGATCAAGGCTGTAAGGTTTCCCAGTGAAATTCTACGATGGTCCTGGAAACTCTGGATACCTCATCTCTGCCTGGAATTTAACATAGCCAGCAGATCTCTCTGCTCAGAAGCCACAGTTTGGGTCCTTTTGTGAAGGCACGCACCCTAAGGAGGCCAAGGCCAGTGTATGACTGAGAAAACGTGCCCGAGCCACCCAGGCATTGCAGAGACATACGCAAACATGCTTTGCTTGGAATAAGCCCCTAGATACATGTGTGAATTGGAACCCCAGTAACACACTTGTTGACTTACCCTTGTATGTATATTCTCAACGTGTGTGTGTATCTCTCTATCTGTACATATCTATATCTTACTATGTGTCAGGCTCAGTTCTAAGTGCTTAAATGTATTGGTGCTTTTCATTTAGACCATATGTAAACACCACACCACACACCATATGTAAACACCACACAAACCAAGAGATACCTCACAAGATTGTTTCTCATGTGCTCTAAAACGGAGGATTTCACAAGCACTACCATCAGATATACTCTTACTGACAGTTTGTGTGTGTGTGTAAAGCTATACATTATCTCTAAGCAAAGTGACCCCCAAACAGTGGGGAGGGTCCAGCGCAGTGTGTTGTGTGTGTGTGTGTGTGTGTGTCTACCGACCCCCTAGAAACTTTAAGCATATTGTCCTATGCAATCCTCATAGCAATCCTAGCAAATACATCTCATTCTAGTTTTACAGATGAGAAAACTGAGGCTCAAAGAAGTTAATAAGGCCCTTGTTCATAGTTAATCAGCTATAACAGACCCAAGCCCAGGACCAAGGGGCAAGAAGCCCAGGGTCTTGCCCTATAGTGGTTCATCTACAGTAGCTTACCGTCCCGCCTCAGAGGAAGAACACCAGATTTGTTTTGCCTGGTTTTCCTGTTCTGTGAGTGCTTTAATGAACCACACGGAGCAGGAGAGACGTGCACAGCAGGCAATCACAACATTCTCGAAATCTGCATGGCCCGTGACCAGATTCAGTGCCATGGTCCACATGGCTGTGCACGTAGATTTGAATGTTTTCTTTCAAGACCCTCTTTTTAATTGGCTCCAAGACGCAGCCAAAACAAACAGTACCCTCTGCCTTACCAAGCCACACTTCAGCGAAACACCCCTGACCCAGCTTCTTCTCCAGAAACAACGAGTCACGTGCCACTTCCCAAGCATCTTTAGCCAATCCGGAAGTTTGTGGGGTACAACTTGAGGCAATCACAGTTAAGTTAAAACACAAACCATCAGCTTTCTCTACAGGAAAGGGGATTAATAAAGAAAACACAGTCCTTATAATCCATCATTCCGCATGCACTACGAAAGATGGAAGGTGGCCTGCCCTTCGGGGTGACATGGAATTTATGCCAACAAATATCCACAGTTGCAAGGCTTTCTGGGCAGCCTGGATCATTCTTTGAATCGTTTACTGGTTATGAATCAAAGCTTGTGCACTAATTGGTTTGGAGCCAACTGGCCAATTTTGATCATTTACTATTTCTTTTCTAGGCATTCCAAAATTGTGAGTTCAATGCATTCGTGATTTAAATTTTTACCACCTGCATAAAGTTTTCATTTCCACCTTCCACCTTTGATGTTTGGGATTCCCCAAACAAGGCAGCTAGTAAGAGAATAATTGAGTCTCAGCATACCCATCCACACTTCCCCAAACTGCCCATTTCCCAGTCTCTTGATCAACTGCAGGGACTCTCGAGGGATTTCCCAGACATCTTTGGTTTTGACAGACAGATCGGTAAGCCTTGGCATCCCTTTGTGACAGGGAACTACTAGGCGGCAGCAGAGACCTGCGGCTCTCTCTGATGGAGCGAGGACGGAGACGGCAGCAGGAGCAGGAGAGAAAAGGGCAGAGAGGGCACGTGAGACAGAGCACGCACAGGTACACAAACCCACACTAGCCAGCACACGGTGCTTCATCAGCAGGGAAATAAATACACACTCTTGGAAGGTTAGACGTCACATGCGGAAACACGGTCCTCCGAGGTAGAAGAGGGGACATTTTCTATCTGGATGACCCTGTACACCCAGATACAACAAAGGGTATGCCTATGTAGACACAGCCAACTTTGGACCTTTTAAATTCCTTACTCACTTAAGAAACACATTTAGGGGCTGGGGATCTCTTTGGTGTGGGTCTACGTAAAATGTTAAGTTTAGTACAAGATTCTTCTATAGAACATTCAATGGTTACAGGTTACATATACCTGTCAGGAGCATAAGGGGCCCCTCTGCTAGCGACTTCTCTGGCATTCCTGACTCTGTTCTACCAGTCGGATGCTCCGGCACTGCCTGGCTGATGGCTCCTTTGCCCCACCCTCTTGTTCTTTTAACCTTTAAAAGTCTAATTAGGATATCCTTTAGGAATCTGATTAGAAAGGAGAAAGAATGGAAACGGAAATTTGAAAAAATTCAAGGATTTGAGAGGATTCTAGTCCCCATGAAAAAGGGAAGAAGGTAAAAGGTTATTTTCTATTTGCATACATTTTAGAATTCAGCAATGCTAAGGAGCCCTGGTGGCACTGTGGGTTAGACACTGGGCTGTTAAACCACAAGGTTAGTGGTTCAAAGCCACCAGCCACTCTGAAAGAGAAAGCTTAGGCTGCCTGCTGCACTAAAGATTTATGGCCTCGGAAACCCTGTGCGGGGTCCTTATGAGCCCATAGGCTTTGGTTTGGAAGTGGGGCCATGGCCTAGATGCCAAGCTAACCACCAGCAGGGGAGAGAAGGCAACAAAGAGCAAGGTAGGAGATCAGTGGCCGGAGCTGCCCAGAGTTGGGACTGTGAGGTGGACAGTGTGCCCTGACACCCCTCACATCTGGGAAAAGCAAATGTAGCTCTGTCTTTTCTCCAGGGGCCTGCCAGAACGTAACTTTTCTTTTTGAAGGAATCAGGCTCTGAGATGTTTAGGCAGGACATTATTTATGGGTCAATATTTCGAAGGCATTTTATTGTAAGAGAGAGAGAAAGAGGGAAGAGGAAAAGCCAACATAAAAACAAATCTAACTCAAGATAGATTTTTTGGGGGGGGGCTTTGTGGGAAGAGATGGAAAAAAACCCTATTGCTCTTCATATCTTTTCTCTCCTTCCAGCTTTATGATGCTATTAAGGCGCCCTTTCCAACACAATATTTTCAAATGCTCCAAGCCCCCGGGATCTAGCTGATGCTGGCTGTAATGAAATCTATTCCAGCATTTGAGAAGCCCTTACAACATGCAGGCATTTTGAGCATGTCATTTAAGCTCGGAGAGGCTCTGCTCTCTTTGCTGCAAATATCTTATTAGGATCTGCATCAAGCAAAGTTATCCAATGCTCCCACCGACCATGCACCAAGGGTTCATATTGCTCCCAGGGGCTCAGGACTTCGCCCAAATCAATATACAGGTATTTCTTGCTGTTCTTGTCAAAAGATTGCTCCCTCTTTGGGCTAAAACAACAACCACGCACGCATTTTTTCATGTGTGCATAGGGAAAGTGGGGGTGAAGCCACATACTATTGGGGAGGGGGCTTGTCGCTGTTATGTTGGACAATAGAAAAAATATATATAATGCACACAAAAACCCCACTGGCTTCATGGAAGACAGAGCTCTATCTGTACATATCGGCCCATATCCATTTGTGAATGTATGTATTCAATCAATCGTGGAACATGCTTGCTAACCTAGGGAAGAAATTACACCTAACCCTAAATTCTGTCATAAAATGTACAAACTGGAGGCCTGAACGCTTGACGAGTGTGTGTTTCCAGAGACAGCAGAATCATGGTGACATCTGCCCGTTCGGTCTGAGCTTCATGGACTTCTGAGAAGTTTCCTGTAGCACAAGGGATGCCCTGTGGGTCATGTGATCCTAGGTCTGTGTTGGAGGCAGGCTGGGCGGTGGTCGGTGACCCTGAGTTGCTTGCAATGCATGGCAACCTTCCGGGACAGAGCAGAACTCCCCTGAGGGTTTCCTAGGCTAGGAGGTGGAACTGATTTACCACACTAAACCACCATCTTTACCGAAGCAGAGCCCCAGGTCTTTTATGCTCAGGGGTGGCTGGTGGGTTTGAACTGCCAACCTTTAGTTAGCAGTCACTTAACCAATGGACCACCAGCCCCACCCCACCATCCAACTCTGTGTTTGTTTGAAATGGACTTGTACGTCACTAAAGATTCCAAGTCCACATCACTTAATGGTGCCTTAAAGATGGGGGTAGAGAGTGATTAATGACTAGTAAATTCACCTACTGAGAAGAAGGGACCATATGTACAGCCGTCCCTGGACCGGCGGGAGTGCACACCGATGACAGAAACACCCCCTCTACGTGTGCTTCCACCAGAGGCAGCTCCGGCCCGCCTTCCTTTCACGGGTTCGGAACCATGAAGTGCAGGGAATGGAAACAATGCTTAAGAGGATTTTAGGAGGATGGTGAAAGGCCAAGCGACTGTATTTTTACTTTTGACACTGAACCGATTGCTTCCTACTTGGGGCGGTTGGGGGGAGAGAGGTTAGAATGTTATAGAAACGCCTGACAAATAAAATAGGAAAAACAATAGACACAGAACCTACTCATTCAGGCAAGTCCTATCTTGAGGCAAAAGCAAAATAAGACACATGAGTGCCCATCTAAAGATTTGCCGGGCCACCTCCCTGTGTCTCCTGTGGGCCCGCCCCCAGGGCCCCCACAGGCCCCCTGTCCAAAGGGCTCACAGCTCATTAGAGTGAAGGTTACCTGAGTAATGCTGTACAAGCTGCTGAAGTGTTTCAAACTGGGCCCGGGTGGTGATGTAGTAGCCACCATTGTCAAGTTTGCGAATTTTATAGTGTTTGACATGATCTCCTTTCATGTCATCCCAGTCACGGATGGACAGTGAATAGGCACCTGGTAAATATGCAGAGCGTTAGCAGTGATCCCACTTTGAGGACTCATTGGTTTTTAAGGGTTCAGCTACTTGACTATCCTGATTAATAATTATCAAGGGGAGACACACATACTTCCACTCGGTACCGAGGATGAAAATTTCTCTTGCTTTCCTGTAAATGTCAGAAGATATTAGCAATACAATGATTTTACTCTCGAGCCTGGAAGCTTCTTGGGTTATTTTCCCCCCTCTAAAATACTCCATTCACGCACACTTGTGCCACCTCACACGGCAAAGATCCAGACTGGGTGGGGGCTGAGCCTTCTTCCTGGCGTCCGCGCCCACAGGATGGTCAGGTCGGTTAGGACAATGTACACAAAAGAAATCTTGAGGCAGTGAGATTCAAATTTCAGCTGAACAACACCTCCAAGGAGAGCAGATAAACAGTGTCTGCTAGAACAAGTTATAAGTCTACCACTCTTTTCTACCCTGCTTTCCGCCTCTTCTCCTGTGGGCGCTAAAACCAAAAGGCCAACAATTGGAGGAAGAGAAAGAAGTGAGAGTCTCAGCTATTAAAAACCCCAAAACCAAAGAAAGGCAAAACCACCTGTATGACTGACTGGCTCCTGAGTAGCTCAGCGTTTCAGAAAGACCCTAAAGCTAACGGACTTCTGAAAGGGTCTATGATCCTGGGTACCCAGAGGAATAAAGTGACCCCAGCCCGTCTGTGGGTTGGTGGGTGGGGAGCTCCTGCTGTTGATATGGAATTGCCTGGAGCAAACACTGGGCACAGGGAGGCTAGGCACCACTGAGAAACCTTTGTGCACTAGGATACGCCTTTATCCCTCTGAGGAATCCACAGATTGAATGGCAAGCCCACTCCCTCACTGTCCTCAGCTTACCTTTGGTGGTTTCACTCTCACGGATTAGAAAGGTACCTCTTGGGTTTCCAAAGGACAACAGCTGTCGCTCGGCATCTTTCCGGCCAAGTTTCCCAAAGTACCACCTTTAGACGAGACAAAGGAAGGGAGTCTCTGGGAACCCTCATTGCAACACGGAATAGGGCAGAGGTGCTTCTGCCCATTCATCTCTTTCGCCTTCAGTCTGGTCCTTAACCTAGTTTATATATGTATGTGTGTGTCTATGTACAGCCCCCCCCCCCAACGCACACACCCCTCCCTGGCTCAAGCAGTTCTTTTTCAATCTACTCATGATTCTACCCCTAATCCATCTCTTTCACTCCTTAAAAAAAAAAAAAAAATCTCGGGCTTGAATTGTGGGCTGTTTTCCTTCCCTCCAGTGATGACAGGAACTGGTTTGTGTTAAAGGTGCCACCTGCATGCATTAAAGGAGAAATCAAAAACCTTGTTTTGAAATGGCAACCGCAGGAGACCCTTCCCACGCTCATCCACAAGACCCCTGATTTCTGAGTGTAATTACAACCCCTGGGAGGAAATAGCACACAGTCTAAGTGTATGAAAGGATCATTAATCACTCGTGGGTTTTTTTAAGGTCCATCAGCGTGGACCAAGAATAAAAGACACATGCTATTTGCAGCAGCATTCTACCTGGAGGAAGCGGGGGAGGATGCTGAAGATGACCCTTAATTTGAAACGGCTATTGCCGCGGGAGCTGGCTTGTCTTTCTCCTCTCAGATTGGATGGATGAAAGGCATTGAGCCAGCACCTGGGCTGTGACCTGCCAGCCTTCTGGCCGGCACAGCGGCACCACGGGCTCCTGTGCACCTTGGAGCGCCGTGCAGTCAACGGGCACGTTCTGCAGAGTGACTGCGGGCTGCAGACAGGTTCATCTTCTCCCCAGCCAGGCAGCGAGGGGCAGTGGCACCAGACACCCCTTCGGAAGGCGGCCCAGGGAGTGATGGCCTGATCTGTCTTCTCTCTCTGACTCCCGCCCGCCCCCAGAGCCTCATCGCTGTCTGGTAATTAGTCAGCGGTACAGCACTGATGCTGCGGGAACAGCAGGTGTTCCCGGGAGCCGAGGGGTGGGGTGGGGGTGGGGAAGCTGGAGCGTTCCATTGGAATCCGCTCACAGGAACAATTTTTAGAATCCTGAACTGTGAGAGGATCCAGTTTCTAAAATAAAATTTTGATTCATTATGTTTGAATGTAGCTATTATGCATTCATTGCGGAAGTCTTTTGTGAATGAAGGAGCTTCGCTGGAGCCAAGCAAAGACACCCACCCTCTACGTTCACTCTTCGTGGACGTTCAAGGTCCCAAATTGCAGGGAGGCATGCCCCAGCCTGGAGCCAGTTGGTATAAAGAGAACGGCACCAATTATTTGAGAGAAATGATGTCCCGGGGCTGTGTCAATAACCCGAGGAGGATGCCTGGCAAGTACCAACAGTGGGGGACACGCAGACAGCCGGCTCGTGGGAAAACGGGCTGTGCTGACACAATAGTACATTTAGATAACAGGAATGAATTGCACATGTAATTACCAAAGAATGGCCTTTTATTATTTAAGAACAAAATACCTTAAGAGGTACTCATGACTTCTCTGATTCACAGGTCCCTACAGGACAGGGCGGAGCAGCTCAGTGGACCCCCAGGCTGCACCCCTGGATGGGAGTAGTGGCCACAGCATTCTCCCTCTGAGTGGCGGTTAGCAGACCCGCACTTAACCCACCGTGCCACCAGGACACCTCTGTAAATATAAAGCTGGCCAACATAATGCCACACATTTCTTCTGAGAGAGCAAGACAGGTGGAGCGTACCCCCAAATGGAAGTGCAGGTCCCAGCCCTTAATTCACTGCTAAGGAGACATGTTTTCTGGGAGGGACAAAACATGCTCCCAGAACCACTTGGTGTTTGAGGGAGGAAATAAAACAGACCTCCCTTAGAAGAAACACAAGGGACTCAAAAACAAGCCAAGGATCCTGTTGGGGATTTAGCTAGGGTGCGGAGTTTAATCCTGCTTGCTGTCCTTAAATAAATCCATGACAAAATGAAATCTCAGAGCTGAAGGTTGGGCTTAGGATTGACTTTTTCTGACTCCTTTGTGGGGAGGGGGAGGCCAGACCACCTACTGGAGTAGGGCTGGCAGATCCCCACAGTGTCAGGGTGAGGCCATGGGGAGAAGTTAGGGTCTGCAAACTACGTTCTCTGGCACGTCTCCACTCTGGACGGACCAGGAATCCTTCGCCAGTTCAAGGAGTAAGATTACCTTGTTTAGAATTCCCCTCCCAGACCGCTGACTTCAAATTCCTACCTGTGGAGTGGTCAGGTCAAAAGACTTCTGGCTACTATCTGCTATCCAAGAACCCAACTGAGCCCCCGAATTGAGTGAAGAAGCCCTTGCAATGCACCACTGCCATGCCTTCTGCATTCTGAACAGCAGATTCAACCACCTGGGCATGGCAGGTATGCTTTCTCAGCACGTCTTCACTACTTCTGATTATTGCACACAGAGAGAAATCTCAGCCTGATCTGTGAGTCAAGCATTTCGCTCTATCTTTTTAATGGAAAGTGCAGGCTGCAGTTTGGAATGTTGGGTTGGTGATAAAAAAATATGCTCTAGCTAGATTCTCAACGTATTTTCTTGGTCACTTTCCATCTACAGGCAGTAAGTTGGTTTTCATTTTGGAAACTGGTAACAAGTTTCTTTGCAAAAGATGCAGCATAGGAAAAAAATTAATTAACAGTGCTAGTATCACACAGATAGGGCCAACACCAGTGCCTAACGTCTGGGAGACGTAGTATGACTGTATTCTCTCAGTCCCTAGTCATTTCTCCACCTGCCCAGTGCTGAGCAAAGAACTTGTAACAGCAAGGAGTTGAGAGGAAAACCATGAAAGGAAACATACTCTTCTGCTTGGATGGAGTCGACTGGAGCCACATAATTGCTGGGGATGTAGCCCGTCTCTCCGGTGTTCAGGGAGCGGGCTTCCCACCAGTCTCCTTCCCTGCAGGGAAAGCACAGAAGGGAAGAGAAGTGAGCAAATCTGCTGTCTTGAAGTCCTGCAGCCTGTAAGGCCCCTGCGGTCTCCCATCATGCCACCAGCTGATGCCGCCAGCCTCCACACCGCCCTGAGAAGGGCAGATGGTTTACCATGGGAGTTGAACCCAGCTCTGTCTTTTGCCTGATGTGTGAAGTCAGACCGCACGACCCTGGCTGTGAGAGGGCACTGACCACATTTCGCTTGGGAGATACCCCCAATCTGGGCTATGGGGAAGGGAATCTAGCTGCAGTCTAGGTAATTAAAGCCTAATCCGCGGCAGCTGACCAAGAAATTGTTAGAGGCCCAGTAAGGGACACAAGCATTTCTCCTCAGGAAAGGGGGGCTCACCACATGACCCTCAGATTAAGACAAATCAGTAACTTGAATGGTGAAGGCTCGTGTGCTTTGATTCACATCTTTTTGTGGGTCACAGAGAGCAGGGATGGTGTATGTGCTGTTTCCTGTGGATGCCGGGGAGACAGTTCTCTCTGGGGCTCAAACTCTGACATCTGCTGAGTCTCCACAGACCCCCCCACCCCCCACCCCCGTGGGGCGGGGGACACAGCAGTCCTAGAGTCAATTGGCTTCTGGGTCACTGGGGCAGAAACGCATCATGGGAAGCCAGAGGCCCAGCTCTCGCTCCTGTCCTTGTTTGGTCCCCTGGGGCACAGGAGCGAGAAGCACAGCGCTGTATCTCCTTTGTCCCCAAATCACTTTCTGGTTGGGAAAGAATGCGTGCTGGCTTTTGGCCCCGGTCGAGGTCCTCTCCTGACTGATTTAATTAGGTGGAGAATAATTAAATCCAACGTCCACTCAGGTCTTGCCCCCGAGTCCCTGACTTTAAAGAGCGACTCACTGAGCGAGGGGACTGGGTGGACTCCAGATAGGGCTTGGTGCAGCCACAGAGCGCAAGGTGACAGGCCAACGTGAGTTACGGGGGAAGCTGGGGAAATGTGCTGGGGGCCCTCCTAGCAAGTAACACAGGCACTCCACAGGGTGCTGGCGATGGTCTCTGAAAAATTCTGTTTTAATACGCCCCCCTACCCCCAGTTAATTGAAACAGATTAACCAATCAAAAGAGGACAATGGTTGTTGTTATGCCTATAAAGTCTTTTGCTGATTGCCTTACATTTCACTCATGCTCGGGAAGGGGGCTTGTTATGGAAGGAGGAGAAGCCATGTCTTGCGACTCCTCTATCATATCCCTTTGCCTTGTCAGGTTCAAATTCAGGAAATTAGAAACGTCAATAGCTTGTACTGGTCTCATTTCTACTGCCCTCTCCCCTGCCCACCCCCCCAGGAAATATTTCCAGTTGTAAGCATATCCTCTAACTACATATGCAGAAGTCCCCCCCGCCCCTCCCACCGCGAAATAAAACACGACATGCAATTAGGAAATGGCTTTGTAGACAACATGATCTTCACTTTCTGGTGAAAACGTTCACTGCTTCGAAGGGCCACTAGATGGAGATATTTCCCCACAGAAAATAACAATACCCTGTCCAGTGTCTCTCTCTCTCTCTCTCTCTCTCTCTCTCTCTCTCTCTCTCTCTCACACACACACACACACACACACACAATCAGGAACACGGTGGGGAAAAGGGTAAAGAGAAAATAGAAGTGCTTGTAGCAGAGGGTTCTTTTTAATACAAGATAACTGCTCACTGAATCAGTCCTGTTTATTGAAGAACAAGCAGGCTGGCTCGCAGCACGTGAGGGTTTGGGGGAAAGCCCTCCAGGGCAGAAAGCCAGCCCTGTTGGCTGCAGGCTGGGGCAAACCCAGTCTACTGCAGGGGAGCTGGTACTAATGGGCTGATTCCAATCTCAGTCTGGCCTATCCATCTATCTCTCTGGCCGAGGCCCCTCAGTCGTTCAGCAGTTAGAAGCCAGCTCATTCCTAAATCTCACGGCAGGGATCCTATCCCAAGAGACTCAACTCCTCTCTCAAGCATTTTCCGACTCCTCTCTCAAGCATTTTCCATTCACCATGAGGAATTTGATGCCCCCCCTCCCCGCCCCGCCACTTTCCCCCTTTTTAGGTCGGCCAGGGTCGCTTTCTTCATCAAAGAAGACGTGAGTAACCAGGACCCGGTATATTAGGTAGTAAACCCCACATGTCATTTGCACCCAGAAGAAGTCTGATGAGAAAGTGAAAATCCATTTTCTCAGCACACTTGTCGTCAGGTGCCTTTGAGTCCGCTCCGACTCACAGTTCCCGATGTTAGAGCAGAAGCCCTGCCCGGTCCTGCGGGTTCCTCACGATCACTGCGTGTGGGGGCCCGTGGCTGCAGCCACTGCTTCGTACTTTTAGTGCCTGCGGGGCTCTCCTTCCAACACTGCACCGGACAATGTTCCTTCGGATTTATAAAGTTTTCACTGGCCAATCCCACAGAAGTGAGTGGATCACCTACTGCCTACTCCTTCCTTGTCTGGGAGCTCTGGTGAGACCTGTCTACCATTCCTCCCCCCCTCCCCCCTCACCATGGTGTCTGCAATACCGGGGGCATAGCTTCCAGCATCACAGCAACATACAAGCCTCTGCAGCACAACAAGCTGACCCACGAGCCCTCTCAGACAAACAATACACTCTTTACAAATCATTCACGCAGATTCAGGAACAGAGGACTTCTATTACACTGCTCTTCATTTCTTTGCGTGGGTGACTGTGCTTCATCAGCTTATTAAAGACATTTCTTTACAACTGTTCTGATCACTCTGATATTTTATCAATTCAGACCTGGTGAGATTTTTGTTACCATGCTCTGATTCAAATATATGATTTAAGCTCTGGCTCCGGTTTAGAATAGCTTTGGGGTTTTTATCACAGGTCCTCCAGTTTAATGACTTACTAAATCTTCTGTGTCCTCAACTCCCCAGAGCTGTTTGCAGGCCTGGGGTCCCTGGAGCCGGAGCCATGGGAGCCCTGAAGGGTCCAGAAAGTGGCCTGCATCAGCCTCTACCTGCTGAGCTCAGGAGCATTTTCATGAGAAATGCTGGACCCTCAAAATCGGGTCACTGCCCATCTTGCTTTGGGAAAGCACACGCATGACCCTTTGAAGGAGGGTCTGGATGGGTCTCTAACCCGGGATTCCCGTGAGACGAGGCACAGATGATGAGAGAGGCCCTGCTCCAGGCCATGTCCACCACTTACTCTGGGTCTAACTCGAGTTCTACTTTGATGACGGTGAGCCTTCGGGCATGAAATGTAAAACAAGGAAGTTAAATGGAGGAACCTTGATACCCTGGAAAGTGGGTTCAAGTTGCATAACAGCCCTGACACTACACCGAGGAGTCCAGATGGAGTGGTGGGTTATCCACTGAGCACGTAGGAAGCAGCCAGTGAGGCCCCCATCTCCCCTCCCTCACACCCTGGCTGGGCCACATTCGTGTCTCCTGGGTTATGCTGCACTTGGAAACCAACAAGCCAGCCCCTCAGCAACTCCTGCCTTGGGGAAGGGCAAGGGAGAGGGAGGAACCCCCAGCTCCCCACTCCAGCAAGGCCCAGCCCGCCCGCTCTTTCAGGCGTGGGAGCCAGCGGCTGGGAGGGGCTGCAGGAGGAGACCGAGCCGCCAGCCATCTGGTTCTGTATTACTGCTTTGTTTTTCCTTCCTCATTT